CGGATGGCTTTCAGATCTGTTTCAGGTAGGTGGCAACAACAACAAGCATTTTTCGACTGTAAACACCCACAACACATTGTCTTCACCTAACTTTACGGGTAAAATTAACGGATGGTAAAAATGGTGGATGTGATCAAAAACGGCCTGGCATCGGTTACATTTGGGAAGGTTTGAAAGCGTAAGAAGATCGGACAATAAAGAAGGAATGAGGATTATCATCTTGGTGAAAGCTGTATCAATGGCGCTGATGCGCAGTTTGAAAGTAGTACTTTTTAACGCGTGATGAAGTTCGAGTGGACTAAGCCCAACAACGCCTAAAGAACATTCTCAAAGGTACAGCCCGGTCTTGAGAGATGTGTCGACCACCACCATCACCGTTTCTTAGAAAACTGCCGGAGGAATTCGGAGATCAGCACTTGACCTAGTTTGAAGACTTCAAAAAGGGAATGGCTATTTTTTAAAAATATGTCTTTAAAGAATCTGTTCATTTGCCGGAAATAACATTACCTGTGAGGTAACAACACACAAATATAGAAACAGGTCGCAAAGACAGACCTATATGCAACGACAAATAGAATCCATGTAAAAAAACGAACAATGCACGAAATATTTGATAGACTTCAATTAAATCAGAAATGTCATCACTAAGCTGGACAACTCTGCTCTCTAAAACTGGCTGAATACAAAATAACTAAAACAAATACAGCTACAACCTTTCTGAGAAACAATCAATACCATTCTGATGCACAGCAATACAACTTAACCTTCAAACTTAGTATTACAAGATTTTGGTCTACCTTCAAAGTTAAATACACATCTATCCCTATAAATGGGAAATTAAGAGTGAAATGACTATACGCTGTGCATGGGTTACACACACTGGCTTCATAAACAAAGAACCTTTGGATAATGACACAGATCTTTAGCTCTACGAATAAGGGCGTCACAGACAGTGCCCACCGAAGAAGCGCAGCGCAGACCAATATTCCACAAATGGTGATCGAAGAAAAAGGAAAGAAAAGTTTGTAACTATTCAGACTTCGATCTCAATAATT